TTCTTGCGCTGGTTGATATTATAATGCTCATTTATCCTGACTAGTCATTGCAAGTATAATTCAAATTATATATATATATTGCTTAATATTAACTATTGTTACGCATGCTTTATGATTATAATTATTTTTTTTTAAAATGTTCTCACTCCTTATGTTTCTTATGTAATATAATAATTAAATAAATATAGATGGATGTTCCTGCGATACCCGCCCCTTTCCCTGCAGTCATTTCTGCTGTTTTCTCTGGAACCACCTGGAGCGTCGATGCTCTCGCCAACTCTGTAACTTTCAATAGGGTGGCAGTGTCGTCGTTCACTTTTTCTCCATATCAAGAAATTCCCACGGTGATAGATGGACCCATCGTTGTGACTTTTTACTTACCCCCAGCAAATCACGTGAACCCTATCGTGAATTTGTTCCAACCACCTATGTAATTATTATGCAAGTAGAAAAAGAAACACTATGATATGTAGATAGGCACGAAATAATCTGTCCTATATATATGTAAGAAAAACGACTACGTTATTAGAAAAAAAATATGTAATGATAAGTACTTATAGTATGATATAATGTATATTATTATTATACATGTGTTTTCTAGCTACATATATATACATATAATACTGAGGTTAATATTAATACGATTAGGCGTTACAAACTCAACACCTCATATGCTCAACACAACACGGGGTGAGCAGTTTAAATGGTTTGATCCTACCAAACCAATAACACATGGTGATCTTTTGGGACTTGCTAGATCAACAATAAGTTGGAAATAAATCCACAACACAACAATTCAGTTTTTTAGATGTCACCACTTAAACAAGGAAGTTTAGTACTACTATAAGGATAAAAACAATTGGGTATGGGTCTATTACAACATTAGCTAACTTAACTAAGTCTCCTATGAGATTAGTTCACCGATTACCCTCCAAATAATACGTCCTTCAATACGATTAGGAACTAAGTTCTCGACTTTGCACTTTACTCGGTTAGTTACTTGTAATTAGTATAGCTCAACCTGACCCCTATATTATGGTCGCTTCATACATGTATGCCTCGACCTTACCCACACACGATACCAACAAAGTCATAGAGGAGAAACAACACAATAACCACTTCAAGGGTCAATTTCTGAAGAAGGATTTTCAACAAATTAGGCTTTCGGAGCACACAACACAATATCCACACAATTGGATATGCAACTTTCAAGAACTTTCCCTCTAGTTTTAAGTGGTCAACACAACTCAACAACACAACAACTTTTTATGGATTTAACACAGCAACAAAATCAACCCATAACTTTACATCTCACAACTCATAGTCTACATTGTAATCAAGAAACATCTCAACAACACATTGTATATTCAACTCAACCACACAACCTACAACATAGTCAACACACAATTAACAAATCATATCTACTTCTCAACTAACAACTCACAACAAAAACATCACATACTACCTTATCACTGCAACAAATTCATCACATTTTCATTTAACAACAAGTAATCAACATTTCATCAATTATAACCATATTTTCTTCAGCAACTAACGCCCGACACCATTTAGTTAGGCAGCTCTTTGTCTCGCTTGGGCCCATGCCTGACATTATACAACCCACATGTGGCATGGTTAAGGCAGAGGCCTTTAACACCTCGCACTTGGTGTGGTAAACTACCACACCTGACCCCACCTTAAGTAGTGAGTCTCTGCCCAAGTCTTTGTCTGAGTCTCACCTGGAGTCACCACCTCAGCATCCGATAAAATCCAAACAAAGAGGTCTGGCTTAGGTATGCTAGGCACCACTCAACTTTGGGCCTGACGTCACCAAGTCAAAGAGTTCTCAAGGTTCTCGCACCCAACACCATTCAACCACACTCAACATCATTCCAACCCGAAACGAATCTCTCTCTTCACACCTAGTGCCACCAATCTTGTGCCCGACATGATTGAGAAAAAAAGCCTTAAGTTAGAACCACACTCGACGCCTTGAAGGCGCACCCGGCATGACATTAAAATTCTGCATATGCAAAACTTGATTTTTGAGCAAAAACCTGAAATGTAGCAAAATCCAACACATGCAACATGGAACAACATTTATACTCAACACAATTAACTCAAATTCAGCACAAAAAGCAACATGCAACAACAAATTAACTCAAATCACCATATTCTTCCTTAAGAACATAGAACCTTAACTTTCAACATGCAACCCATTCTGATTCAATCAACAACAATCACAATTTACAAGAAATTCACGCAACATTCAACATCAAAATCATCCTACAATTCTAATATACATCAAGAAGAACATAAATCCAACTTCCCTTACCTCGGGTGGTTTGATTCCGAGGTAGAAAAAAAAGAAAGATCGAGGCTCCACAACGAAATCAACGAGTTGATTCAAAGTTTCCACTACTTGAATCACAAACAACACAATTCTAATGAGAATTGAAAGGAAGAAAGGAGAAGATTGAGAGAAAAGAACTCACAAACCAAAGACCTTTTCTCTAGAATCCTTTCTTTATAAAATTGAGAAAAGGAGTTTATAAGACTTTATCCAAAATAGAAACCCTATATACTCTTCCCTACTGGATCAAACTGAATCTCTACTCAAGGAACCCCCTCTCTATACCACTTAAGCTCTTAACGGATCATCAAACCTCCGAACCTCTCAACACTGACAACTTAACTTAATAGCATAAAACAACTAGGGATAATATAACACTATCACAACTTATAGTGTTACAATATTCCCCAACAATAGAAATTTTCATCCCAAAAATAAACTTACTTGAGAATAAAAACGGATATTGTTCTCTACACTATTCCTCAACTCCTAAGTAGCCCTACTAGTAGGCATGGTAATGGCGCAAGGCGGATACAGGTTTCTTGATACACGTCCTCGTCCTCGTGGTTTAAACCCATCTCCATCCTCATCCCTGTACCCGTCGGGTATGTAATTTTCATCTAATCTCTGTCATCGTCGGGTATCGGGTATACCTATACCTGTACCGTCAAAAATTAATTAATTTTTTTTTGCAAAAAAAACACACACAATATTTTTAGTTTATATTTTCATTATATTATAATTGTAATTGAGTTATTTGTCTATCTCATATTTTAATTAAGAGATTTCTTAATAATTAAAAAAACCACAAATGTTTCACATCATAATAAACAATCACACATAATTAAATATTAAAATTCTTTAAAATAATCAAATCGGGGACGGGTATTAAACCAAGGATGGGGACAGGGACGTGTATTAAACCAAGGATGGGACGGGTAAGTATATACTCGTCTCCGTCCCCGTCCACAACTTAATGTTTCGGGTTTTACCCATACCCATACCTAGTCAAATCAAATATTTTTCATCAAAGTCAGGACGAATTTTGGGTATTACCCACAGGTACGTGTTTATTTGCCATCCTTATCCACCAGTAGTTGCATCCCACAGAATCTTCACCAAGTTGACGGACTTGCCTCTCAATTCTTTCAACTTGTGATCAACCACAACTACAAGTCTCTTCTCATAAGTCATATTCTTTTTAACCTGAATTTCATCCATCTCAACAACATGACTCGAGTCATGAACGTACTTCCTCAACTGGGAGACATAAAACACATCATGTAGTTTGGAAAGGAAAGGTGACAAGGCCAACTGATAAGCTACCAAACTTACATGATGAAGGATCTAATAAGGATCAAGGAATATCAGCGTCAACTTCCTAGCCCTTATTGTCTTTCCCAGTAACCTCCATAGGCTTCTTCCTTTTATCAACATATGATTTCTGCCTACTCTAGGCAGTCTTCATTCTCTCTTAAATTTGTTTCACCTTCCCAATAATCTGTAGGACCAACTCTAATTTCACAACCATTGACTCACCATCTTGGTGCCAATATAAATGAGTCATATACCTCTTGCCATATAAGACCTCAAATAGTGTCATACCAATATTGGCATGACATGTTGGTGCACTTATAAGTGAGATAAACCAAAATTTTTAAATCACTTCCAAGTTTCAATATTTAGTGAAGAAATGAGCCTAAATGAATAACATTGACTTATTTTATCATCCCTACTCGGATTATTTTCATGTGAGATGATTTTTTTTTAAACATTAATTCACTTTAATAATATTTATATAAGTAAATATAGTAATAATCAATTAAAAAAATCAAAATTGTGTTATTAAGATAAAAACCGTATTTCAAAAGATTAAATCAATCAAAAATTTTAAAAATAAAGAATAAAAAAAATTTCTGACCAAAATAAATTTTAAAAATAATATATATATA